CAAAGGGACTCTGTGGGTATGAGTGAGACTCTTGACATCCCCATGTCCGGGTGGGACCTAGTGTAACCCATTCTCCTAGTCCCCCATTCTCCAGGTGGGACCTAGTGTACCCACAAGGGTCCTTGTAACAGGGAGGCAGAGGGATATGCGGCTTTGGAGGGGGGAGCTGTAGGGATGGAGGGATGTGGCCGTGAGCGGAGGAATGCCGAGGAATGTTGGTACCTCTAGGAGTCAGAAAGGTGGGGGTGGCTTCTCCCCTGGAGCCTCTGAAGGAACCAGCCCTGCCGACACCTTAATTTTAGCCCCATAAGATTCTTTTCAAACTTCAGACTCCAGGGTAAATGTTAATCCACTGTGTGTGTGGTTATTTGTGAGAACAGTACAAAGGATTATCCTTGACCAAATTGGCTTTTGTCCTGGGAGGTGACCTTAACACCCTCAGAATGTCCTGCTTGATAAGAGAGTCTTTCTCGGGAGCCTGGGGCCACTGTGTATAATTTATGCAAAAATGTGATTTATGGTGGGGGGGGTGCACAGTCTCCACTGGAGACCTCTGCAGGGGCTGGAGACTCAGGTTAGCCGGGCAGGTGGTCAGCCATGCCCCCCGTCACCGAGCCCCAGTAAAGCTGGGCATCAAGGCTCCGGTGAGCATCTCTGTCTGGCAATAGTCCCAGCATGTTGTTGCCTATCAGTGCTGGGAGAAATAAGTGCTCTCCACACAGCTCCTTTGAGAGGGGACGAGGGCATGCTCTGCCCTATGCACCTCTTACCTCTGCTGATTTTCGTCTGTATCTTTTCATTGTAGGCAACGGTAATGGTATGAGTATAATGGCTTTTCGGAGTCCTTCTAGCAAATTATCAAATCTGAGGGTGATCTTGGGGGCCCCCAAACACTTGCAGTTGGTATCAGAAGTGAGGAGGCCTCGGAACTCCCGAACTTTGCAAGCAGCAATAGGAAACCACTAGGTTGTGCAAAGGCCCTGTGGTACAAAGGCAGGCTCTGCACTGGGAGCTTTCACTGGGCCAGTGTAGCCAGGATAGAGAGTGATGGAGGCTGGGGTGGGTGCTAGCCACCGAGACACACGCAGTGCCCCCACCAGTCTGATGTCTAGTTTCCCTGCAGCAGCTAACCCTCGCTGGAGAGGGAGAACTCAGGCCTCCAGCGCTGAGCTATTGAACACGGATCGCCTGCCTCTGCCTGGCTCTTTCCCCGAGATCCAGGAACTATTCCAGGATGTTCTATCAAAACTCTGCTTCTGCAGTGATTGGTGGAAAATATTCACACGGAGTCAATTTCAGACAGCTTGTCCGCCAGGCCTTTCTCACCTGGAAGGAGGACCGGCTCTGTCTGGTGGGTACGTCCTCTTGTGCGCTGGACAGAACAGGCCTGAGCCCCCAGGCATCTGCCCCTCGTGGTGCTGACAGTCTCACTGTGAGACTGGGTGGGGGGGTCCTCAGGTCTGGGTAGAGGAGATGCCAGTAACATCAGCGGAAACGCCCCCCTCGGCCTCCCAACCACGCTGTGGGGCCAGTGAGGGGTATTCCCATTTCACAGGTGAGGGGCCTGAGGCTCAGAGGGGCAGTAACGGACCCTGGCAAGTGACACAGACGTGCTGGAGTCCAGGTCTGACTCTGGGCCCACGGGTGCCCCTCTCAGCCATCAGGAAGACTTCACATACGTCGGGAAACCCGCTGCTTCACGGATTTGCTCAAAAAGGCTTTCCCGAGTGCCGCTCCGTGTGCTGGCGATTGCGCGGTGGGCTTAATTTGGGTTTTCGAACCAAGATACATTTATCTTTTTTTTTTTTTTAACCCGGAAAAAAAAGATTTTTTTTCTTTTTAAAGGAGGCTATTAAACGCTGTCTTTAGAAGGAGGGATAAATGTATATTGGAGGGATAAATGATAAATGTGGTCCAAGATACATGAGCAGGAGAGTCGAGGTGAGACAGGAGGGAAGGAGCTGTGATGGGAGGGTTGTGATCACCATAAGCAGTAGGCACTCAGTCCCACGGGGGACCCTGGAGGCCACCCCGTGTGTCTTTTTCCCCTAAGGTCAAGGCAGCCGCTGCCGGCCCTCTGCTCCCTCAGACAGGCTCACAGCTGCTCTCAGGAGCACCGGGCCTCCGCACTTCCTTCCCTTACAGGTGGGCAGAGTGGTCTTGGCTACCAGGCAAGAACAAAGCGGGTGTCCGGGGTGGAGAGCCGGTGGGGGCATCACATGCAACAGGGTCAGGGGCTAGAGTGGCAAAAGAACGGGGGGCAGTGTATGACCAACGTATTATTAACATATCATTAACAGGGGGCCCCCCAAACTCCAATTCCAGGGCCAGACAGGGGGCACAAATGAGCATATGGTCTGGGTGGGGACAAGGGTCACCAACCGCCCAGGTTTGGCCTTTGGGCTATCTGGTTTTAAAACTGAAAGACGCACGTCCCAGGCAGTTCAGAATGCGTGGTCCCTCCTGTGTAGACTGCAGTGTCATGCAGAGCAGGTGCTCCCTCCCAAGTGACGGCCACCACCTAGCTCAGCGAACTTCACCATGTTAGGGGTGAGCCTCCGTTTTGCCAGATCATCCAATATTTCAAGAAGAGTCAGAAACCTGGATCCTATGTGAAATTTACCAATTTTAATTGGAATGAATCCACATTTAAAAAGCTCTAGGTGGGTCCAAGGCTTTGCGTCCAGGGAATGATGGAGACAGCTTCCCCGGTAAATGGTCAGAAGTAACGGCTTTAGTAAGAGGCACCAAGGAGGACTGGGACAGAGCTCTTAGTCCTTTGCTCTTTTGCTTTCTTGGCTGCATTGCATGTGAGGGGGTCCAGGGCCATCTGTGGGTGCCCAGGAGGGAGCCCTCGGGCAAGGATGGCCCTCTCTGGGTCTACAAAGCCCCCACAGAAGGGAGCTGAGCATACCGGAGTCCAGCTCATTTCACCAAAAAGGCCCAGAGACGGGAGAATCTTGTCCAAGGCCACACAGCAAACTATGAACTCCCATGGTTCACCCCTCCCTGCTTCTCTCTGACCCCGGCCCTCATATCCCAACCCAAATACAAGTGGCCTCTTCGGTCTAGCCACTCCTTCCAGATTTTCTATCTATTACAGCATCTGTTTCTCTCTCTTTTTTTTTTTTTTTTGCATGTTTCTTTTTTGATGGCAAGCGCCTCAGAGAGAAAAGTAACAAGATCTTTTGACAAATGGGAAGGGCTGAGGAACATGTTGCTCTCATGATTTTGTTAGGGAGATCTGCCCAAATAAAGAGAGTGCCTGGTTGATTTTTTTTTCTTTTTAAAGGAGGCTATTAAACGCTGTCTTTAGAAGGAGGGATAAATATGCCCCTTCCTGGTCTATTTTTCAAGATTCCTGTTACGCGTAGAAGCCAGATCTCCTCTGATGTTGCTTTAACACACAATCACTTTGAATTACAGAAGTGTGGGGTTTCCTGCAGCCTAGACTATTAGTTCTGGACCCTTTCAAATGCAAGCCACCTACTTCATGCCAACCTGGGAAGTGTGGTGCAGTTGTTAACGTTGTTAGGGACCACCTTGCCTGCTGAAGGGGAAAGGGGAGACAATGGAAAGATGCATGGGGCATTCCCACTGACCAAGGGCAGCAGGGCCTCGGGAAGGAGTGAGAGCCAGATGGAAGGCCCTCAGAGACCCTTCTCCGCCTTCCTTCACTGCCAATCTGCTCACTCCCCATCCAGGAGGCAGATGGCTGCCCTCAGCACCTAAATTGATGAGCCCCAAATCCAGGACACAGCCTGGAGGAGGCACGTGCTAAGAGGAAGCGTCTGATTGGCTCAGGTTGAGTCAGGTGACCACCCTTGGTCCAATCAGCTGCAGCCAGAGCAGCTGACTTGCAAGGTGCACGTCCAGTGGCCGAGGTCTGCTCCTATGGGACCTGGGGGCACAGTCACCGGGAGGTAGGCTGGGTGGGCTCGAGGACTGAGCCCCCGCCCATGCTGTCTATCATCTGGTGATTCAGAAAATGCCCAAGGACAAAAGGCTGCTGCAGAGTTAAGACAGCAACGGGAGAGGAGCAGGTTTTATTCCTTATAACTGCATTTATATGAATTTGTGAAGTAGCAACTATACATTGGACCCATGTTTAAATTCTGTTCGCTTATGGATTGGCAGACCCCTCGCCAGGACCCCACCTACAGCCTGAAGTTAGGGGGAGGGCGCCTCAGGCGGCTCGCTCCATCCCTTAGCCACTAGGCTCCCGGCCCATGTCCTCAGGGATCCCCTCCTGCTCTGACCCAGGAGAGGATAGAGCTTGCCTGGCCAGCCAGCTCTTCACATGGCTCCTCTGAGCTGGAATGGTCCCCGCAAAGCCAGGAGGCAGGGAGGACCCCCTTGTTTTTTCTGGTTGGGGGGAGGGGCAGGGAGGAACCAGGAAGAAAGGCCTCCCCTGTGGCCACAAGAGGCTCAGCGTTTGGATCTGTCAGCAGATCCTTTACCTCCTCGTTCACTCCCACCACCTGCTCTCCCAGTCTTTACTCGGTCCACCTGTGTATTCTTTTTTTAAATTCAATTAATTAACATATAATGTATTATTGGTTTCAGAGGTATAGGTCTGTGACTCATCAGTCTTATATAACACCCAGTGCTCGTTCCATCACATGTTAATGCCCATCCTCCCGTTACCCCATCCCCCACTCCCTCCCCTCCAGCAACCCTCAGTTTGTTTCCTATGCTTAAGAGTCTCTAATGGTTTGTCTCCCTCTCTGATTTCATCTTGTTTTATTTTTCCCTCCCTCCCCCTATGCTCCTCTCTTTTGTTTCTTAAATTCCACATATGAGTGAGATCATATGATCATTGTTTTTCTCGGATTGACTAGTTTGGCTTTGCTTGATACCCTCTAGCTCCTTCCACGTTGTTGCAAATGGCAAGATTTCATTCTTTTTGATGGCTGAGTAGTATTCCATTACCGATTCCTTCTGGCAGGTTCCGACTGAGCCCACACTCAGTACCGGGTGCTGGGTGGAGGAGAAAACCCTGCTCCTGCCCTTGACATGCTCACGAAGGACACAGGGGCTACCAGAGCCCAGGGAGGGGCAGGCAGAGGCTCCAGAGGGGAGGCGCCCTTTGAGCTGGACTTCAAAGATGCATGTGTTCAATCACCAGTGCAGGCCTTATCAGTGCCGGGGACCCACCGGGGAGGTAAGCAGCAAGGTCCTGCCCTCCTAGAGCTCGGGGCTGGGGAACTGAGTTCCCCAGGGAGGGAGGGCGAAGCAGCTTGCCAGTGTCTGGGCCAACGACACTCAGCTGTGAGACTGGCTGAGAACGACCAGGCCGGGGCCAGCCCCATGGGCAACGGTGAGACCCCCTCCCCCCTGGCATTTATTGAGCACCTAGTGCATGACAGGCACTATGCTTAGTGCTTTATCTGATTTTCTTCTCCCGTCTCCATGACCATCCTCCTCTGCAGGCACTCCTGTCACCCACACTGTGCAGATAAGGAAACTGAGGCTTGGCCAGAGGAAGCGACTTGAACCCTCTTCGCATCTGGGTAGCTTGCTCTCTCTTCTGCGTGCCCAGGACATTTATGCGCCACTCCATCCTGGTTCATTGTCCATCTCCGGAGGGCAAGGACTGCACCCGAGCACAGAAAGTGCGTAACACGCATTCGTGGAGGGGACTAGAGCCTTCCCTGCTCCCCACTGTCCTGTTCTTCCCCGACCCCGACCTTCAGATCTCAGGTGTCTAGCCGTCTATGAGGGCTCTTCCTCCCACCTTGGAAAACCTGCCGTCAGCAAGGTTTCCACAGTGAGGTGCCAAGGACCGATAGTAACAAAGCAGGGCCCTTTGGGGGAAGAGCAAAGGCCGCAGGGATGGAAACTTCCGTGGTGGGATTGCAGGCATCAGGTAGGGGAGAAAGCTTGAAGCCCCGCTTGCTTTGCTCCCAGAAGTCACTCCCGGGAAACTGGTTGCAGTAAGAGGGCCCAGGTTGTGGAGGGAGCTGAACCCCAGATTTTCCATTTCTGTGTTGCTGTGATTCACTGGCCTGCATGAATGTCCCCAGGTCTCCTGGATCTTGGGAAGGGTACCCAGGGCTTCTGCTCTCGGCCGCCATCACCTTTCTGCTTAGAACTCACCCTGGGGGCCAGTACTCCTTTCCCAGTGGGTCCCAGTTGCTTTAAAAAGGAGAGAAAAATTGAGAGCAGCACGACTTGAAACAATGCCCTGTCCCTGGCCGTGTACGGAATTAGCCCCCAGAGGGGAAGGGCCAGCTGGTCCCCGTCGCTGTGGTCGTAGAAAGACTTCAGCGTCACCTTGAAGGTGACATTTCCTCCCTCCAGCCCCAATGACATTAACCTGCATGGGAAGATGGCCTGAGGGCCCTGAAATTGGGTTTCAGCCACTGCTCTGTCCCCCACGTGGCTGAGTGGGGCCTCAGGCAAACGGCATCCTCTCTCGGAGCCCAGTGCCAGGGAGGTGGTGCTTGGGCTAAGTGAGCTCTGGGGGCCGGGGCACAGCCAGCCTCCCCTTACCACTGAGAACAAACGAGCGTTCGGGTTTCTAGAACATCGGATTTTTTGAAAGAAACCACAACTTTGGATTTTTTTTTTAAATGTTAAGATTTTTTATCATACTGGCTTTTGTCATTTTGAGGTTTTTAAAGTACAACATTCATGCCCAAAAAAGGTGTTCAAGTGCACCTTATCCCCACCCCCTGCCATCACTGTCGCCCCAACCCCCACTGCCCCCCCCAGGTCCTGACCTCTAGCGCCCACGGTGGCTTTGACACTTAGGCTGACACCTTGCACGCAGGGTGTACTCTGGCGTCTGGTTTCTTGCCCCCACCCCCGCATTCTAGCTGAAACTCATACAGGTTGTGGGCGTAGTTGTAAATCATTCACAGTCAGCTTCTGTACTGTAGTTCATGGTGTGAATACACCGCGTATATTCAGTCTTTCTACCTCGATGGGTGTTGGGTGGTCCCTTGGGGTGGGGGCTGGAATGGGTAGGGCTGCCCTGAGGATTCTAGCCCACACCTTTTGGGGGGCACGTATGCACATTGCTACCGAATCTACCCCAGCGGTGGGACTCCTGGGTCAGAGCAAGGCAAGCATTCCGAGAAACATGGATTTTATCTGAAATCTCCTTATTTTCCAGTGACAGAAAGCAATGAATATCTGTTTAAACAAGGATTCAGTTGGGGTGCCTGGCTGGCTTAGTAGAGCATGTGACTCTTGATCTTAGGGCTGTGCGTTCGAGCCCCATGTTGGGTATAGAAATTACTTAAAAGTAAAATCTTAAGGGCGCCTGGGTGGCTCAGTTGGTTGGGCGACTGCCTTCGGCTCGGGTCATGATCCTGGAGTCCCTGGATCGAGTCCCGCATCGGGCTCCCTGCTCGGCAGGGAGTCTGCTTTCCCTCTGACCCTCCCCCCTCTCATGTGTTCTCTCTCATTCTCTCTCTCTCAAATGAATAAATAAAATCTTTAAAAAAAAAAAAAGTAAAATCTTAAGGGGCACCTGGGTGGCTCAGTCGGTTTTTAAACGTCTGACTCTTGTTTTTGGTTCAGGTCATGATCTGGGGGTCCTGGGATCGAGCCCTGCATAGGGCTCTGCGCTCGGTGGGGAGTCTGCTTGAGATTCTCTCCCTCCACCCCTCCCCCGACTTGTGCACGTGTGCATTCGCTCTCTCTCGCAAATGAATAAATCTTTAAAAAAATAATAAAAGCTTAATGAATTAATAAATACACCAGGATTCAGCCAAGTGGTGAATCCTGTCTGGACTGGGTTGGACTTGACCTCCCTTATCCCTCATAGCTTCCAATCAGCCTCATTTGTGCTTTAGCATCTTAAATGTGTGTAACTTTTTTCATTATACAAGAATTGTAACTATTGTAGAACATTCAGAAAACAGAGCACAGAAAAACACATCTCGGGGAGTTCGGCGCCTGAGAGCGAGCACCTCGGTAGCCTTGTAGATCATGTTAGCGCTGCCCTCCGTGTGTGTACGTGTTTCTTATAGATTTGCGGTACCGCTGTACGTAAATTAGCCTGTCTTTTTGACTGAATCCTGAGCGTTTGCATGTTATTACATGGTCTTCCTATCCAGCTACAAGTGGTTTTAGCTTCATTTGATTTTTCGGGGAGGGGGGGCTTTTTGTCCTGTAATAATAAGGCATAGAGGAAAGTGGTGTTTTCTTGTTTTTTTTTAAGATTTTATTTATTTGAGAGAGCACAAGCAGGGGGAGGGGCAGAAGGAGAAGCAGACTCCCCGCTGAGCAGGGAGCTCGATTCGGGGCTCAGTCCAGGATCCTGGGATCATGACCTGAGCCGAAGGCAGACGCTTCACCGACTGAGCCACCCAGGCGCCCCAGAAAGTGGTTTTAAGGGCATGAAGTCTGTGGCCACGCCGCTTGGATTCAGAATCCAGCTGTGCTGATTGCCCACGGCGTGACCTCTCCAGGCCTCACTTAGCTTCATCTGGGAAATGGGGATAATACATCGCACCTGCCTCAGAGGTTGTGCAAGGCTTTGTGCTTCTATAATATGCATGTGTGTATCCCCAGAACTCAAGGTCATGCGTGACAAGGGGGTTGTTTTGTAAACCGTTTCTCGGCGACCCCCCCAGTTTCTCTGTGTCATTTTTGGGGCACAGTTCTCCGTGGCGCTCTCAGGTGTCTGGATGTCTGGCAAGCAGAAGCACCGACTCTCTTTTTAAGGATGTTTGTGTAGCAAAGGGCCTTGTTAGATGTAGCGTCTTCCTCCTATAGCCAAAGGCAGTGTGGTTTTCTGCCCACCACGACACAGAGTCTCACTCCAGGACAGAGGTCAGGCAGGCTTCCTGCAGCAGAAGAGGCTTGGGTTTCCTGAGCTCAGGGTTCCTCTGTGGGGAGGAGCATGCTGGGGCGCTTCTCATTGCCCCCCAGGGGCCTGGGGCGAAGGGGACAGATGCAGACCTGAAGCTCGGGTTGCTGTGGGGCTGTGAGTCATGAACCCTTCCTCTGACCCAGAGGGCTCGTGTCTTCTGTCTGCAGCCTTGGACCTGGTAGGCTAGCTCATTGGCTGGCATGTGCAGGGTAGTCTCTGCTTGTCCACGGTCCCTGGGCCACTCCGAGGTCCTCCCCAGCTTTACTCCAGTGACCGCGCAACATTCCCTCATTTTGCTTTTCTGTCGCTCTTTGGACCAATCTTCCATTGTCAGAAACACAGGTTATTTCTGATGTTTTCACTATTTATCCAATGCTGCACCGAGCACTCTTGGAGCTAAACTTTGCTCTCATGTGACTCTTTCCATGCCATAAGTCAGAAAGAAGTAGAGCAACAGGACCCCTGGTTTTGGCTCATCATGGCTCTTGATCCCATCACAGATTGAGGCCTAACGGATCAGAGCTGCTGGGGTACTCCCCACTGCGTTCCCCACTGGCCCCTAGAACCGTGCCGGCCTTCCCATCTTCCCGAGTCCCCCTGGGGAGCACCTAACACACTCAACTCTACAGGAAGAGTCATCCCTCTGTCACCAGACCCTGAGCTCTTCGAGGACAGAGATGTCCTTATCCTTGTGTCCGCAGGACCTGGCACATAGTAGGTACTCATCTAATGTTGGCTGAACCTCTGCGGGGGGCCATGAGTCAAACCAAGAGGATGCTGAGACACTGTACTTCATGGTATTGAGCCCGCTGGCTCTCTCTCTCCATTATCGCACCCTAAGAGGTGTTGTGAGTGTTGTGAAATCGCATCTAGTGTGAGGAGCCAAACAGGAGACAAAGGAAAGCTAGGACTTGGGGGGCTGCCCTGAGTCAGCTCCTTGACCCCCTAAGTCATCCCCTCTGGGAAAGGCTGCTACATTTTACTTTTACTTTCTGTTGATAGAATATACACAGAGCAGCGCGGATCACGTTGTTGGCGTTGAGCGCAACGTTACCAGCCCCACCTCGTGCCTCCCCGAGGCCCCCTGCAACGGTAAGCATTATCCTGACTTCTAAAAGTGTGGATTCATTGTCCTGTTTTGTGTGCAAACCACACACATGCACGCGCACACACACGCCCACCGCGTGCTCTTTTGTGTCCGGTTCCCCTGACTCGGCGTGACATTCGTGGGACCCAGCCCTGTTGCCCTGTGCACTTGTAAGCCCTCCTTTGTGCTGGGTGGTTTTCTGTCCTATGGATAGACCACATTTTTTTTTTTCTCACCATTCTATCGTTGATGGGCATTGGGGTCATTTCCAGGGTGAGTCGTGCTGCTGAGAACATTCCAGTACAAGTTCTTACACGTGTACCCGTCCTGCTGTGTGTGTACCGAGGAGTGGAATGGCTCGTGTGCATCTGAGTCTAGCTGTACTAGATATTGCCACAGGGTCAGGAGCTGTTTATCCAATGAATGACTTTCTGGAAGCAAAGAATCGGGGGGGGGGGGACAGATAAAGCGAAAGCAGGGCCACAGTCAGGGCTGGTGTCATGGTAGGTGTTTGGCCCCCTGCTGGGGTTTAATTCCCGGTGGGATTTAATTCTCTGTGGCAGCTGTCTTGAAAGTCTTGATGATTTTATCTTTGCGCTTGTGCTTTGTAAGTGAAATGCGATGGGGACAGCAGAGCACGGGTGGGGGGCTTGGTGGCCCTGCCTGCCGGCACCTCCCTGCCTCCCGGCCCGCGCTGCAGCCGCCGGCTCGCTGGCCCTCCCCGGTGATCACTGCTGCTCTCCACCGACTTGTCCGAGAGCATCCTGTGCCCCAGGGAGCGCGTCATTAAATAATAAATTAAAAACACCGCGACAGGTGGGGGGTGGGGGGCTGCAGAAGAAAGGCAAAAGGTTTTTCCTGCCTTTGAACGAGTAGGCACAGAGTTTCCCTTTGCCTTGGCGGCTGCTGGCCAGAGTTCATCCCACACTTGCTGTGGCCCAGGCCCTCTGCCAAGCACTCCGCACACGTGACCGCATTTAGCCTCTCGGCCCCCCTGGGAGCTCAGCCTTATTGTCATCATCCCCTTCTGCAGACAAGGAGACAGAGGCGGGTTGCTGGGAAGTCACCCTCCCAAGGGGTAGCCAGGAAATGGGCACTGGGCGGGTTTGAAAGCCTGTGCTCATTATCCCCTCAGGATACCTGGCCTTCCTGCAGGGCAGGGTCCCCTCGCCCAGGGCGATCATCCAGGGGAAGCAGAAGAATGTCATGAAGAAGGCTCTCCCCACCCCCCGGCCTGGATGACAGCCAGGGTGGCCTCAGCAGGAGGCCTGGCTGCATTTATGGCTGGGGGGTTGGCAGTCCCCCTGGGGCCGGAGAGGGGGCCGTGGGGAGGACGGCAGTCTGGAGGGACCCAGGGGTGTCCTGCAGCCCACAGCCCGAGGATGGCAGTGGCCACTGCAGAGCCTGGAAAGCTTTGTGAAATGATCATGAGGTTACAACTCATAATGCAGAAGAGGTCGGGTGGAGGCGCCTCGCTGGACACTGGGCCTTTGTTCCGGCAAGGACTGCTGGAGCACTTTGCTCATATCCTCTCCAGGAGGAAGGAAGCGAAGAAGATTTATCTCCCAGAGGCTAATCTACTTCCTTTGGAGAGGCCCCTATCTGTCCCACACAGAACTCTGAATGCCCCCCAGAGAATGCTTTGCAATGAGTTACTAAGGATCAGACATTGAAGGGCCAAGGATCTAGAGCTTGCTTAGAGAGTCTTAGGAAACGCACATTCGTGTGTGTGAGTGGGGGGCGGCGGGGGGCACGCTCGTGCGTACTCGAGCAAGTGCATGTGAGGCTTCTTTCCAAATAGCATTTTCACAAACACCTGTATAGTTCATCCTCCCAGCCTGCTGTGAGGTTTTGTTTGTTCATTTTGGTTGGTTTGTTTTTAAACAAGAGGAGAAGGAAAATGACAAGAGGCCGTAAGATTTTCCCTAAATCAGTAGCTCCGCTGGAAAGGGACCGAAGGTCGAGTTGAGGACCTCCCTCCAGGAAGGGAGGCTCTCAGCGGGGAGGGATGGGCAGGAAATGGTTAAGCAGTGTGCCCCTGGCTGCCCCTGCAGCCAGGGGGCCATGGAATGTGTCTGGCTGCAAGTTTCAAGGCAGGCTTGTTCTTTGCCAACTGCTGACTCTGGTTTCTGCTTCCGCACGGAAGCTGGGTTGGTGCTGCGGGACCCTGACCCCTCAGCCAGACCTGGTTGTATCAGGACTGGATGCCTGACCCAAGCCGGGCCAGTCAGTGTCTGTGTCCGGAAATTGTCGGTGGGACAGATCCTGGAACAGAGGACATGAAATCTTGGGTGAGACCAGCAACCTTGTGTCTCCCTTGAGGAGGCGGGTAGGGGCCTCCAGGGCTCCTTGGAGTTCTAAAAATGTTCGAACGAGAGGATGCACACACATCCCTGAACCCACGCATTATGTAGCTGGTCCTGTGTAAAGCCATTCAGGAAATTCCAATTACCAAAGGAGATTTAATGGAAGGACCAGGGGCGTGTGTCAGAGAACCCAAAGACAAGACTGTGGCTGGGCCTCACACAGCTGGAAGCAGGGCTTGAAAAACCAAGAGGAGTGACAGCAGAGCCCCGGGGCCCCATGTGACTGTCCAGGTTACGCACTCCTCGTGGAGACGGGGCTTTTGTTACCTGCAACTAAAGGAACCTGAGGGAGACAGACCTGGTTGGAAAGGTGGTCTTCCCATTCAAAAGCAGTGGGTTTCAGAATCCTCCTAGAATTTCAGGGGCCAGGGGAACCACGGAGGACAGGAAAAGTCCAGGGTGATTACCAGAAGGAAGAGGCATCCCCGGGGCAGATGTTTGGCAGAGAGCACCCCGCCCCCAGGCTGGGGGGTGGGTTGGTGGGAACTGGGAGCAAACTCCCATACATGCCATGTTACTAGGACGTGTGCAGACAGAGCCCGGGGTCCAGGGAGGAGTGCTCGAGGGCAGAGCACTGCAGCCCAAGAACCTCAAAGGGGACGACTATAGGTGCCTGACAGGGAAGAGTTGGGTCTGGATCCGATCAGAGCAAAGAGAACCTTCTCTTCACCCAGGGCAGCCAAGGGGCCCCATCAGCAGCACACACGGAAGAGCCACGAAGCACCCTTGGTACCTCTCAGTAAGGTCTCTGCACGGCTGCCTTTTGGTGCTGATCGTTGTGTTCGGGAACCAACTGAATCCTGTTCTTTCTCCATCATGAGTTCATATATTCCCGTCCCTCCTGAACCCCCAAAGACCCCCATCTCCAAGCACGGGGGCGGGGGTAGGGCTTCAACAGATGCACTTTGAGCGGACACAAACATTCAGTTGGAAACACTCTTATCTGTGGGTTTTGCCTTTGGATCTGGCTGTGTGTCCTGGCCGCATCACTGCACATCCATCTGAGCCATGAATACAACCCCATGCTGAAGACGGGCGTCCTTTTAGTGAATCTCTGAGGGTGGCATGGTCCTGGGCACCTTCAACACAAGGTGTGTGGGTGATTTCTTGCTTTTTTTAAAAAATATTTTTATTTTATTTATTTTATTATTTTTTAAAGATTTTATTTATGTATTTGAGAGACAGAATGAGAGACAGAGAGCATGAGAGGGAGGAGGGTCAGAGGGAGAAGCAGACTCCCCGCCGAGCAGG